GCTGTTTTTTTTGCGCGCGGGAAGGGTTCTCCCCCCCCCCCCCCCCCCCCCCCAAGGACAAAACCACTTATCAGTGATAGACATTTAGTGTGCATGTGCCAACACGAGGGTTGCAAAAATGTTGCATAGCGCTGCAGTTTACACTTTATATTGCTGCAAAACAAACAAAAAAAATGTGATGGCTTGTTGTCACGATTGCACGTTTCCTGGCGCCATATTACATAATTTACCTTTGAAAATGACTCTCAGGCAGCGTCTCTCTGGCCTCTTTGTGCATTTGAAGGTTGAGTTATGTATCCTTGAGAACTCTGACTGTCAGAATGATATTACAGCTGACACAAACTGCTACAGTAATTTATATTAAACATTAGGACGTATTTGTGCAGCTCCCTCTGCAGTAAACAAGCAAAAGAAGTTGCTAGAACAGCAGCAAAGGGGAACAGCGATCATAAATACACTTGACTGACAACATACGAGTATGAGTTGCATCAGCTGCTTCAAACATGCTTCACAGTCAGTGACTAATTCATCAGCTGCTTGGCCATCAGCTGCCTGTTAACATCCAATCATACAATTATGCAGCCTGTATGAATATAACCTGGTACTTCTCTGAATTTATATTATTGACTTTACTAAGATCTAAAATTCATAAATGTATATTAAATTGTATTAGCTTCACCAGATCGGTTACTTCTAACATGCACATTGGCCCACAAACATGCATGCAAATGTATGCATTTTTTTGTTGTTGCCAGTAACAGATTTAGTTAATGAGAACTCTGTCTGTGACACGAGTGGTTTATTCAGAGATGCAGCTGTAATCACTGCAGATCACAACCTGCATGTTGGTGCCAAGTACTTGACTTTGTAAGGTCAGACCAATCCGCAAATTGCAGAATTTCATTGACACTACTGCAATATTAAATCTAACCCTGGCTTTTAGTTTTGATTATTCCAATAAATATGCAGTTTTAGTTTACTTCCATTTCCAACCAGAAGTTGCAGACACATTTTGGTTTGGTTTCCCCCTAAAGTTCTGCAATCCACCATATAGTTAAAGTTTCATCTAAGATATAAAAACGTGATTAATCCCGAGCTGTCAAGAGAACCAAAGGAGTAATAACATTTCCACGGCCTCGGACCTGCCCCGCACTCAAGCAATTAATGTGAGCCCTTTTAAATTTAATGCAAGGTGACACATGCCGACAGTTTCTCAAACACGCTTCTTCTCTCACTATTCCATTACGAATTGTTCCATTCAGATTCCTCACACTGGCAGGGGAACGAAAGAGAAATAAAGCCCAGGACTCACGTTCTCATTGAAGCTGGGAGCAATCTCCGAACTAAAACTATTACAAGCCCGGTGTGGTTTGGAATAACAGCCAATAGTAAATCAATAGAACCATAAAGGACAGGACTGAGGGAGCAAAACAACAGCAGTACAGACAATTCATTTTAATTATGGTGCAATAAAAAGGCAAAGTAAGATTTCCCGTTTGCAATTCTCGGTGCACTGGTTTGGTTTACAATTGTGTCCTTGTCGGCAATTCAACACCTGCTCTGTAACAAAATGGCTCCTTTAATTAGCATTTTTTTTAATGCGTGCATGCATATACATACATAACCGTTGCGTGTGGTGGGTCAAACAAACACCGCACTTTTAACAAGGAGACTGGTGTTCAAAACTAGGGTTGTTCACTGGCAACATGTTCAATTCAGGAAACAGCACCGGAGTCGCAGGGAGGCAGTCGGGGCGGATGGTTGGGCGTACAAATCACAGACCAGAGGCGACGGTTTCTGTCTGCATGAACTCTGAAGCACTCTGTTACAGAAAGATTATATTGTCAACATGTGCTGTTTTATATTGAAGTCGCTGTTGACGACTCTTTAAATATTTAGACCTGCATTAACTGACTTTTTGGCCACTTGGGGTCAGTGAAAACAAGTCGTAAACACAACCCTGATATTTTGTCACCTAAGTTTGTACGGCCAACTTGTTGGGAAACAGATGCTTATTTACACATCCAACAGACACGCTGCAACATTAACAGTCATCTGTCATCATGTTCCGAGCCACATTTGCTCTCCACCAACTCCTGAGTGGGTTCACTTTTTCACATTTTATGTTGCACCCAAATCTACACGCAATACACCTACATTTATGAAAAAGAAAAACTGAGATATCACAAAAGTGTTTCGACCCGTTGCTCCTTAGTTGTTCAGTTCAGGTGCCTCCCATTTCTCTTGATTAGCTTTGAGATGTTGCCACACCCTGATTGGAGTCCACCTGTGGCCAATTAAACTGATTAAACATGATTTGGAAACGCACACGCACCTGTCTATATAAGGTCTCACAGCTGACAATGCATATGCATACATACAATAAAGCTGATTCTGATTCTGAGAGCAAAAACCATGCAGTGACATTGAATGAACTCCTTGCAGAGCTCATATTTATTTATTTATTTATATATAGATATATATATATATATAGATATATATAGATATATAGGGTTGTGTCAGATCAGGCACAGATTTGGGGAAAGTGAAAGACATGAAAGCTTAGAGTTTGCAAAAAAGAAAAGCACGAAAAAGACTGAGAAAAAAAGATTCTCTAGTCTGATGAAACCCTGATTGAAAAGTTTGGCCTCAATTCAATCAGCACTGCTCATCACCTGAGCAACACCACATAACGCTGAAGCATGGTGGTGGCAGAATCATGCTGTGTGGTGTTTCTCAGAGGTAGGGACTATGGGACTAGTCGGGGTATGAGATGAACGTGTTGGAAACCTCAGACTGGGCTGAAGGTTCACCATCCAACAGGACAATGACCCTCAGCATGCAGTCAAGACAACGCAGAAATAGCTCTTGTGAAATGATTTTACAACATAGCAAAACGTATAAAAAGGCGTCCGAATACTTTGAGAATGCAGTGTATGCTCAGCACATTGAACATAACCTACTCTATTAGTACAGTTCTTTATCTAACAGAGCGTCTGCTTTGAACCGATAACACCCCGGTTGCCTGAGGGCTTACCGGGAACTAATTAGATGAGCACTATTAATATTTCCCATCATTTCTATACCTCAGTCGAAAGGCTTTGGGTATTGTGTGCTTGTGAATTTTTGAGTGGATAATTTGTGTCTGTATATACAAGTATTGTTTAATGCTCATGTACTCTGGTGTACTACCTATAACTGCCCTACCAAGCATACACTTGCTTTCACACTTAAGTGGGCATATGTAGAGATGACAGTCGTGCTGCATACAGAACACCCATTTCGGCAATATGGGTGGTCTTTTGCCAAGGGTCAAGCTTTGTGTGTGTATGTGTGTTCATGTGCACATGCATGTGTATTTTTGTGTGTGTGCGTATTACTAACAAGCTGTGGTGACAAAATACGTGCCATCTGTGCACACGGGAGATTTCACACTCTTGTTCATGTTCGAGTTGTGCCAGTATTCTCATCGGGCACACTGGCCAATCATCACAGGGACGCAAAGAGCAACAAGCCCCAGCCTGTTAGCCTGTCACATGTCCGCCACACTGATTTTCAATAATATACAGTGTATAGGGTCTCCACATGGAGAGAAAGTGTCTCTGCCTAATACTTGTTGCCAGACGCGACACCGAATAATTTTACCTTTGAGTCATCGTGGTCCTGGAGAGACACGTCCTCTGCAGCCCTGCTAAAGGGAGCAAAGACGTCTTTAC